TTGGGGGTGTCTTTTGTTCAAGTGCTTTCAATTCTGTCACTGTGGTGTCCTTGGATTTTTATCCTCATTGATCAAGGTTTTCTTCGTAATGGGTCCGCTAGGCTCCTCACATCGAACATTGCCGAACTCTACTTCCAACAAGTCATGTAGAAGATTGTGTGCAAGGTAAGCTATTGTCGAAGAGTAGCCGTCCATCTCCTGTGTTTGTCGCGTTACATTAATCGGTGATACCTTATGCAATTGCACTCAACTAGACGAGTCGTTTATTAACAGCGGCAACATGCGAGCAGTGAGTGCTATGCATCTCTTACTGCTTCTATTCGTCTACAATTGCCTGACTTGTTTATCGGTCTATGAACACTTTAGCCATTAGTACCTACAAGAACTCGGTGTGTGACATATTTTCGATTAGGTCTTACTTTTTGTGCACCTGTGTTAGACGTTTTCATGTGGATAGCTTCTTTTTCCGCTTGGCTCGCTCTCTGGGGCTTCTTGTGGCTTTCTCTTGGCTCTGTTCAAGCCGTATCGAACTGTTTCTGTTAGCTCCTGAGTATCGTATCTCCCTCCTTTTCCTCTGCGTCTGGCCGGTTTATCAAAGCGTGCGAAAATTTCGTTCCATTGTTTTAGTGCTTCTTCAGATCCATCAGCTCCCACTGCATACACGGTACAAGCTACATGCGAGCAGACATCATCTTTGGCCCACATATCACAAGTACACCAGGGACCTGCTGGTGCCGGTAGGTCCGGATTGGGACTGGTAATGTAGCTAACGATGCAAAATTCTCTATGTAGCTTGTGAGCCTCCTCGAGATTACGGTATTCACTTCGTAGTAGACGTTTTGCCCTCTCGTTTTCTCTCAACTTGGATCCTGCGCTACCGGCTTTGCGGCGGAAAATCCATTGATTTTGAGGTCTGCCCAGCGCGTTAGCTATACTTGATTTCCAGGTTCTGGGGACTTGTATGAAGTTGTTGCCCACATAGTCTTTAGCGGCTTCTCGTCGAAGGTCTCGGGTAATTTGTCCTCGCGTCGTTTCTCGGCCGTACTGTGAGAGCCCCGCCCAGGATGGTGTATGCTTGACGAATGATGCGAAGTTGGACAACGTTCGAGGTCGGCGGTCGATGGTGATACGGTCCTTCATCTCCCGATTAAATCGTTCCACGGCATTGTTAGTTCGTGGCCCATATTGTTCGCATGCATGCCTCGCCCAATAACTCCGCCAATCTTCCTCATTTAGGTAAACTCGGAATTCTTTCAAGAATGCTCTCACTCTCCCATTTTCCAGTCCAACTGAAGAGCGGAAAAGTTTTGAGGATACGGATTAATGCAAAATGAAACATTGGTAATTTGCTACAAGTAATATCGTCTCATTCTGCATCGTTGGACTGCTTGTGAGTATTAATACTGTAACTTTTTGTATTTTTTCGGAGTTTTTCTGCCTACCGTGTATATATAAGCATCGGTTTTTATTAATCATTTTCATATTCATAAAATATAGAAGCTGTAAAACATTTAATGGCTAATATTTTTATCGAAGGCGATGAATTGATTCACGATGACGTTGGATCCGAGAAATTATAGTGGATACATTCTCAATATAAAATGCTCAAACTTTGAATGAATTTGATTTTTAAAAAGATCCTCAGAGGACATCTTCTTTCATAGATGTATATTTGGTTTTGTATAATCACTGTTTTTGATCCGAATTTCTAGACTAGGGATATCCGCAGTTTCTATATTGTGAAAATGAACTTAGTCTGATAGCTTTATTGCATAGTTATATTCTAAGAATCGTATACTAACTGTAAAAATATATTATTGGGGCTTACTTTCGTTCCATTTCTCGTTAAATAGATGTCGCAATTGGCTCCATTCTGTTCTACTCCATGATGATGCCATCAACTTCAGGTCATTTCTGACTGCTCTCCATGTCGCGGCGTCCAGCTGTGTGCGCCCCTTGCAGTCCTTGGCTCGTTTGATCACATGAAAGTAGCAGCTGATTGTCTTGATGTTATCTCCTAGAGCTTCTTTCAGGCCCCTATGTAGGCTTGGGGAGCCATCTAGTACAGCCTCGCGAGGTCTCCAATTAACGAGCCCGATCTTCCCTGCTGCTTTGGTAAGCACTTGGAGGCAGTGGTGTATAGATGCGGTTGATTCTCTCCGGATTATCGCAAGTGCTACCGGCAGTGCAGTAAAGCCTCGTCTGAGGCTGCAGATGACACAAACGGCGAGGTCCGCACAAAGTAAGTTGAAGCTTGCATCCAACCCTATGGTAACGCAGTTCTCTAGGTTCTCGAGCATCCGACAGCTACTGAGGACCAGGCAGAAATTCGCGAGCTTACCCGAGTCGTCAGTTGTGCAGAGTACCTCGCTGAACGCGATGCAGTTGTCTGCTGCTCTTACTCGATCAATGTCCTCGGCCGTGGCAAGGTCGCCCTTCACCCGGCGGAGGCTTTCCAAAATAGGTAGCATCGCAGCTGAGAACTTGTCGTCGATATCGTGCATAACCGGGCTTAGGTCAGAGAGGAAGGCGTCGACACTTAGACCAGACTTCCCATGCTCACTAATGGACCGGTACGCTCCACGGAGCTTCTCTGGGTAGTTCATCTTATTCTCTGCGATGAACCTCATTGCCCTGGGTGAGTACCTTCCCTCCATATTCTTTTTGTTTGTTCTTTCTATCAACTTCGTCATCGTTATTGTCGGTGTATCGCAAGTTGACATCCACTTGCACCAATCGTCTGCTATTTCTGGTGGTAGATATCTACTATGACACGCATAGGTTCTGTGTGGGTGGTTGTGGCTTCTCCATTGCTCTTTTGTGATAACACCACTGCTTTTTCCGTATAGGTAACATAGTTCCCCGGAAGATTTGACCAGGACCTCTGTCATCGGGCAGGTCGCCTCCGGCCAGCTACGCCAATCTGGTCGTCCTTGGGCGGATGGCTGTTTCCCTATCAATGACGGTGGGATGGCTCTTTTGCATAAGAGAACACAAGTTTTGCGACGGACGTCCGACGGAACTGCAGATATCGGACCATCATGTAGCGCGTCTATCGAACATCCAGTAAGCCGTAAATGAGCGTTGTCTTCCAGGTACTTCTCAACGACCCTTCTGATAGTTCCTCGAAATATCAAGAATGGTTCTGGTTCGAAACCTTCTCTCCGGGGGTGTGGAGCAGAAGTCTCTAACTGGGCCTCTTCAACGTCCATCGGCGAGTCTTCAATACCTGATCTTGCGGAGCTTGGCTCATGCACGTCTTGTGGCGTCGTCGGTGAAGTCGAAGCCGGTTGGTCTGGATCATCGTATATATCGGCCGGGTCGTCGTCGTGTGGTGGTGGTGATGGTCGATCTACAGGTAATGTTGGAGGTATGTTGCTTGCGGCATCGGCTCGTTTTGTGAGCGGGCTTCTCTGCTCCTTCCTCATCTCATTATTCTCGACCTCACTGATCATCTCTAGAATGCGGTCCTCGCTAACGGCATCCCTTGTTATGTTTAGGTGCTCATAAAGTTGCTCGTAAAAAGTGAGTTGGCAATCAGGTGGAAGCAAGATGATTTTCTCTCGCAGTGATGGTCTCGTCCAACAGTAGAAGACTGGGTTGGTGAAGGTTTCGGCAGATCCATGACTCGGTCTTCGAGCCTCGAAGTGCTGTAGCATAACCCATCGTGTGTTGTTCACTTCGACGCTTTCCAACACGTCTCCTATCTTATCTTCCAAACGTTGGATGTCTCTGGCTTTTACGAATTCGTCTCGTCCGGAAGGTTGGACTTCCTCGCTGCTCGGTTGAGAAGGTTGCGTTTGGCGAATAGATGGAGAGTTTATTTGCTGTCCTCTATGCAGCCAGTTTTTATCCATGCAGTCTCTATCAAATGCTCTGGCCAGTGGATTCATAAAGAAGATAGGACTCAAATCTTCAGCAACCTTCACGTTCCTTAGAGGGAACACGCGGATCTTCTCCCGGGAGCCCACTCGGCTCAAAAGGGTGTAAGCTGCACCCTGTAGCCAATCTTGGCTCCAGAGAGCTGCGATTTTATGATTGCTGCTCTTAGGTACCTTCACAAAAGGCAGTTTGGCCCATACTCCATCCAAGGTACACCCTTGAGTTTTATGGCATGTTAGGGCATAGCTTATCATTAATGGGAACTGCCTTCGGCTGAATACCACATTACCATCCTTGTCTTCTATGGTGAAGGTAGAGCGCTCTACCTCCACTTCATTTGTGTTGCCATCGAACTTGACAACGACAACTGGTTCTGACCCCGCAGCATCTCGTACACCAACAACTTGACCGGTAAGACCATTGACAAAGCGCTTCATTGGGTCGTTTACAGTGGCCATCACTTTGCATCCTTTCTTCAGCTTAACGACTGGCCTATATCCCATCTTCGCTATGGCTTGCATATCGATATCTTTCACGTTCGCTGCCTGTTGGCTGAAGTGATCGATAGACTTGAAGTTATAGGCACCACCCAGTAAGGTATCTAAATGTGTCTCGTTGTACTTGTCGGCCTCGGCATTAGTCAGACATATGATAGTGTGATTGAATCTGCAGAAAAACTGCACTTTCTGCTATATATATGGTGATATATATACGGTGATATGTATATGGTGATATAGCGCTTTTGTAGTATTATGTGCCGGATTGTCGTAAGGAAAATGTCGTGTTTCATATTATTGAATATGAATACTCATCCGTTGCTGAATTAGATGGATCATCATTCAAGCCTTCTATTGATATCATTTCTAATTAATACGTAATAATAAGGGTATTACGAGCAATTGGGAATGCTCTAATTCTGATATAATATACTATTGATATATATCTCATATACTACTCAACGAGGTATTATTGAATTGTATAGCATGTATCACTGAATGCGATTTTCTATATCATTCAATTCGCTAATATTAGATTATGTATCCTATACCATTGAATTATATATTGCATATTGAATTTGGTAGTACTGAGACGGATAATCTATATTGAGTTATTTTATTTTAAACAAAATTTTCTCTTTGGGTCTTCTATCCTGGTATTAGATATTATATAGGATCAGTGAATTTACTTGTCTGGATTAGACATTGTATTAATTTTCTTCATATATTTATAGCTGTTTAATTTGCAGATGGGATATTCTGTTAGTGAATTATATACCTCACATAGTATATTGAATATATATTTTTAGTATTATGGAACTACATTGTAGTCTTACCTAGGTGGGTTAGATCCAGCATCCCGATCCCGAATATCCTGCAGTACTTGGAGAGCTTTCTGGCTGAACTGCGGTACGCCAGGAATGATCTCTTCGGCGCAGCGAATCTCGGACAGGAGCTGTAAGTAATCATCATCTGATTCTCCCCTGTGAAATTTCGTAAGGTATGCTATTTCAGGGTTCATTTCCTGCCATACCGTACTCTTCCAAAAAGGAGCAGTCGGGAACTCCTGTGGTGGGAAGTCTGACGATCCCTCGAATAGACCGGTAGTTCCAAGCTGACATGGATCTCCTATGAGAACGGTGACAATTCCTCCGAAAGGTCGATCTCCATGCAATTTTCCTTTCCTTAGGGTCTTCAAAGCTTGCGATAAGCCATCTAGGATAGTATCGTGGACTATCCCCACCTCGTCCACTATGAGAAAGGCCTCGTCAGACAAGAGCTCCCTGCGCTTAGCAGCTGAGAGGTTACCCAATATTCGAGTCGCTAGTTCTCGAGGGCATCTCATGAAGGCGTTGTCGCCTACTTTGCCGGATCTCTCATATTCAAGTCTGAAGTAGCTCATAAATGTATCACCTCCTAGAACCCTCGCAGCCATCCCATTCCAAGATAATACTATTGGGCATTTCTTGCAATCGCGAGCGTTAGCAATTATCGCTTTTGCCACATGCGTTTTACCAGTACCGGCAAAACCCGTTATGTAATGGTAGTGAGGTTCGCTTTGGAGGAGGAGGATGCTTTCGAGAACACCCACCAGTACATCTTTCTGGTCGATATCGAGTTCGAAATCGTGGGAGGACATAGTGAAGCACTTGAACTAACGCTATTGCGGGTCAATACTGCACGTTTGATTCTAGTTGCTCGAGCTTGGAATTTTCGACCATTATATTCTTGCTCATCTTGATTCTTCTACATTGTGGCGCTCGAATCGTAGCTCGCGCGGAGGTATTCATTAATACTAGTTCATTGTTATGGTCGTTGTGATAGTCGTTGCGATGGTCGTTGTTGTATTCATTGTTATTGTCGCTGTGATGGTCGTTGTAATGGACCATTACTGATTGTCGTTGTTTTATTCATAGTTTAATATTGTATACATTGTTCATTGTGATTATTTGAGTTCTAGTGCCCGCCAGTAAAGTAGCGACAAAACATTGAA